CATCCAATCAGCAGCCTTGTGATGAAGTTCCTGTTATCGTAAGTTTTCACTTAAGTAAGTTTAGTTTAAGTGGTTTCTGGCAACGCTATTAAAATTAACCTTAACATTAACATTAGACTTAAAATTAATCGTAACTTTACGAAGTTTCTGGCAATGGGCCCCAGCTGAGTAACCCTCCATGGGGGCTGCCATCTTTAATCAAGCGAGCGCACAGCGAGCGCTCGTGTGTCGTTCAGGAGGCGCTGCGTTCGTTCATCGAGCGTTCGCATCGAGTGCTCGCTCTCCTGAACACGCCTCGGGTGTTACAGATAGCCAGCATGTGCTGCGCTTGCCACTAGTGCGTTATGGCCAGCAGCGGTGTCGATTGATGTACGGACCCGATTGTTTCATATCTGCTATGTATGTGGCGCAAACTGATGTCATGTGTGGAGCATTTTTATGACTGCGTAGGGGTTATGGGCACCTGGGAGGGGAGCCCTACATATAAGTCGACAAAATGACGACTTACGCGTATGTCGTCATTTTCGTAAGTCGGCACAAATATGCTGGTCCCAAGTGTCGACTTATATGCGAGTTTTACTGTACCATCATTTTATTAGTAAAATGTTCCAAGTGCCTGTGGCATGCATGGCACTTCAGTAGATACAATAATGTAACCCAACAAGAGTAGGGTTACAAAGCCTACCTACTCTTGTTGGGTTACATTATTGTATCTATCATAGGAACTTCAGCACCACACTGCAGAGAATTATGGGCTGGTAAATTTTACCAGTGGTAGTCCAAAAAACTATTTTCCAGATCACTAGACACTACTGACTACTGTACTGGCCAGTGAAGAGAAATTAACAAATACTAGGTTAGTTTCAAGCCCGGTGTCACGGTCTGAGATTACCCCCAGTCTGAAATTACCCTAGCGCTACTGCGCATGCGCCACACATGCGCACGAGGTGCTGGGTGTAAAGCGCAGTAGCAAAAATTAGCATTGGTTAACTGAGACTGCCACCGTCACAGCAGTCAGCGTCTTAACGCCATTTGTGTTAGCAAAGTTGTTGTATTAGCCATTTGTCAAAAATACGGACAGAAGCAGTTTATTATTGCTCTCTCCAACACGGAAGTGACTATACGCCTGGCGGCCGTATACTATACACACGGCGGTAATTTCAGACTGGGGGTAATCTCAGACCGTGACACCGGTCTGAGATTACCCCCNCTACTCCATCACCTTCTCTCCTCCTCCTCCTCCTCCATCACCTTCCCTCTCCTCCTCCTCCTCCTCCCTCCTCCATCACCTTCTCCCCTCATCGTCCCCCCTACTCCATCACCTTCTCCCCTCCTCCTCCTCTCTCTACTCCATCACCTTCTCCTTTCCTCCTCCTCCTCCCCTCCTCCTCCTGCCCCTTATTCCTCCTCCATG